ATACTTTCAAAAAAGTTTTCATTTTTAATGCAAATAAACTATGACTATTTAAAATTAGAAGATAGAGATAAGCAAAGTAGCATGACAAATTATCTGTATTCCTGTAAATGAAAGTAAATTTTGTGTAAATGTTTTTATATACACTTGTGGGCTTGTATGTGTGTGTGTGTGTGTGTGTGTGTGTGTGTATACATATATACACACATACATACTTGTGGTTTATACAATGGAAATGTATTCTAAATCATCCTTAATAAAAATTCTCAGTCAATTTCTTGCAGAATTAATTCTTTATAGCAACAATTCTTGACCATGCATCAGAATTATTTGGAGAGCTTGTTAAAATACAGATTGCCATCCCTTGCTGCCCAGAATTTTTGATTCAGCAGCCCTATGGTGGAGCCTGAGTTTTTATTTCTACTAGAGAGACCATTGTTTAATATGCTGTTTTATAGGTTTTTAGGTAACTGGGCATTTCCAAACATATTCTAATTGTCATTAATGTTTCTGTATAGAATTTAAGAAATAATCACTTTCTCTTTATTATAAAACCAAACCAAAACCAGCAGAGACATTATAGTATATTTTTTCGTAAGATGTTTAAAATTTTCCTGATAACACACAGAGAAAACTTATTTTTCTCTTTAATTGTCTAAAAGTGAAAATTCTGACCAGTAACATTGTCAAAATGATTAGCATGCAGTTTGATGGGGCAGGTATTGGGGCATAAGTATCCGAATCCTTACAGTTTGATATGTAATTTCTAACTAAAAGATTTTATTTGTAGAGACATGATTCGTTGTCTAGTGTACCCAGTAGTACATCTTCAAGAAAAAATTCTCAGGGGAGTAACAGAAGCCTGGGTAAGGAATATAATATTACATTTTTATACTCATTAGTAATTTGAAAGTGAACATGATCAGTAAAAAAAATTCTACATGATTATATCTATATTGACAGTATTATCTGTATATGGATACTCAGATCAGATGGTTATTTTTCAGTGTTCAGGCATGAATGAATCAGTTTTTAAAAAGTGAAGCTATTAAACATCTTTGTACATTTGTTTTAAAGTAGATGAATGAAGAAAGTTCCAGAAGCATACTGTACTAAAGTCATATAAACATTATTTGAGATAGTTTGTTAAAGCTTTAACTAAAATTTTCCACACTGCAATTTGGGTAAAATTTTATATYTTGTAGTTATATGGTTTATTTCACCTCTTGTACTTTAATAAAACATAGAAGTATGATTTTTGCCTTACTAAATTGGAAACCTTAAAAAATAATTGTTGGCATTTTTCAGTTGTGCTCATAAAATTGAATTTAAAAGATTACATGAAATTTTGAAACATTTTTGTCTTGTTTACAATTCAGATACGATTACTCTCTCAGGAGATGAAAGAGATTTTGGCAGATTGAATGTGAAATTGTTTTATAATTCTTCAGTGGAGCARATCTGGATCACAGTTTTACAGGTAAATTAGTATAGTTAATACCAACTTTTATTTCAAAATTAAATATTTAGACACTTATCTGTTGTTGCCCTCTTCTGGGGAAAGATGTAATAGTTAGTCTTTGG